TAAGGACTGGGAGAGATCACTCACCAAATACCATCTGGGGCAAAACAGGCTCAACTTAGAGATATGAAGAGAATTTTGTTATTGCTAACAAAATCAGAGTGTGATAATGAGAAGTAAATTAAATCCTTAAAAACACCTTCCCCCCACCCTTCCTTCCTTTCAGCTCCACCTCCTACTCCAGCAGTGCAGGGAGACAGGGAATGGGGGTTGTGATCTGTTCATCTCCCATGGCTTCTCCAGCTGCTCAGGGAGAGGAGTCGTTCCCCTGCTGCACCCTGGGGTCCCTCCCAAGGCAGACAGTTCTCCATTAACTTCCCCAGCGTGAATCCATCTCATGGACAACCATCCCCCTCAAGCTGCTGCAGTGTGGGTCACTCTTCCATGGGGTGCAGTCCTCCAAGGACAGGATGGGCTGTGGGTGGATCTCTGCATCCATGTGGATCCCCATGGGCTGTGGGTGGATCTCTGCATCCCTGTGGATCCCCACAGGCTACTGGTGCACAGCTGCCTCACCGTGGGCTGTACCAGGGACTGCAGGGGAATCTCTGCTCCAGCATTGTGGGTGATGTGATGGTTCCAGGGTGTCTCGGGCAAAGCCATCATGAAACAATGAAAGTTTTTGACTCTTGGAAAAAGAGCTTCAACTTTGAGAGGACAGTTGGTCACAACTGGTATTCCCTAGGGCTCAACTGTGGAGCCAGTCCTGTTTAGCAGAATTTTCTGATGACATCAAGCTGGGTGGGAGTATTGATCTGCTGGAGGGCAGAAAGGCTCTGCAGAAGGATTGGACGTGTTGGATTGATGGGTTGAGGCCAGTTGTATGAGGTTCTGTAAGGGGAACTGCCAGGTCCTTCACCTGGGTCACAACAACCCAAAGCAACACTCCAGACTTGGAGAAAAATGCATGGAAAGCTGTGTGGAGTAACAGGGTCAGCCTGGGGATGTTGGTCAGCAGAGGCTGAAAATGAACCAGCATGCATCCAGGTGGCCAAGAAGGCCAATGGCATCCTGGCCTGGATCAGCAATCGTGTGGCCAGCAGGACCAGGGCAGGGATTGTCACCCTGTACTCAGCACTGGTGAGGCCACAGCTCAAAGCCTGTGTTCAGTTTTGGGCTTCTCACTACAAGAAAGACATTGAGGGATTGGAGTGAGTCCAGAGAAGTGGTGAAGAATTCACCACTCTTCTCACTACAAGAAAGACACTGAGGGATTGGAGTGAGTCCAGAGAAGAAATGGTGAAGAATTCACCACTGTTTAGTGGTGAATTTAGCAGTGCTGGGTTAAGGATTTGATTTAGTGATCCTTTCTTTTCCAGATTAAACTATTCTAAGATTCTGTGATTCTAAAATCTCAGCTGCCACACCCCTTCTTCCTTCCCAATGTTTCGAACAGACAGCTTGGCAGGTTCACCCAAGCAGGTACAGAGGGTGGTGAAAGATATGTGCTGGACTGAACCATGAGAGATAAACACTTAGAGGAGGCCAAAGACTTGAGGACAAATCTTAAGGCCCTTTGGATCATTATTGTTACTGAACTTAGGAAAAGCATCTTTCTCCTTGCTTCCACCCAACAGTCCTTGTGTGTGCTGAAGTGCTGATTTTGAGATTCTGGTGAGCAATGGAAGAAACAGCTGGGTTTGAGTAAATAGGGCTCTACTTCTCAGTGTTGCTGGTTGCTGTCACCATTGCTGACAAGCCTGGCCCTGACCTGATGACCTAGAATTACAAGGATCAGGGGAATGTCCAGATTTGTGCTTTCCTACAGAAACTAGGTAAAAAGCACAAATTCTAAAATGTCTTATTGTACAGAGAGGTAGCAAATGCACACACACACAAAATCAAATAAAGCAAATAAAGTCCTCTGCCCTGTGAAGCACGTAGAGTCCTCCTCCTCCCTCTTTCCATGACAGACACGTGTCCCTGGAGCTGGGGTATGGTTTACCAGCCGTCTGGCCTTCACAATGTTCTCGGCACTTCTTGTACACTTCCTGCATGCACATCCATATGCTCATCCTCTGTTTTTATTGCTGAAGGTTATAGAGGGTGAATGAAGGCCTCCAATGCCACTTTCTATGGCCAATTTAGAGCTTGCAGATAATCTCCTGTGAGGTCACCCACCTCTTCTAAATGTCATGCACGCATGTGATCTGAAGGCCTTCACAGTCTGTCCTCATGCCTGAATGACATCCCAGTGACTCAGCCACTAACACCTCTGAATGAGGCCACCCCTTAATTCCCTGCTATGGCTGTTTCTCCAATAAAATGTTACTGAGCATCCTCACACTAAGAGCAAACAAGTGGGGCAGTGCGAGGGGTAAGAGCCCCGCGGAGATTAGGAAAATGGCACTGGATGGCACCACACAGTTGGGAAAATTCTTTTGACATCAAATTCAAATGGTCATGATTCAAATGGGACATGTGGGCTCTTCCCTTGCCCATGAGAGAAGAGGAACGTGCTCTGCCTATGCCACGCATCCAGCAAGGCAGCTGAAATCAGTTGTGCTCTGGCCTAAACCCAAAGGCCAGGTCAGCTGCAGGAGCAGGTGAAGCTCTGCTGTTGTGCACCATGGATTTACCACCAGCCTCCACCTGGAAAAGAACCCCTCAGATCAGGAGGTCTGGAGGAGCCTGATTTAAAAGGACATGAGGTGAGACCACAGCCTCCAAAACCCTTCCTGTTGGGATGGAGGCAAGCCAGGAAGGCTCCTCTCCTTGCCTCCTCTTCCCTTCAGCAAGACCCAGGCTCTGCTAGCTCTGCTAGCCTCTCCTGGGATTGCACCCATCTAGCCTGCTTGGCTGAGGCTTCCTGCCCTGCTGTCCTTCAGGGAGCTCCTCACATCTGTGGGGGAAAAGCCCAGTGCCCAGGATTTCTAGTCCTTCCCCACAAAGCTGGGACTATCTCATCCCTCTGTGAGCTTCTTTAGTGTGACTGTGATTTCCCCTGTGAAGTCACTCTGTCCTGCTGGAGCAGCACACTGGGGAAGTGATTTTGCATCGCAGGATTTCAGGAAACACAATGTATGTCAATGTGGAGGCATAATTCCTCCAGAATTTGTCTCGTTGTATCGCAGCAGTCTCACTGGTGTTGCATCGTCTGGCAAACCTTTACTAAGAGCAGCTTCCAATTCTACAAGGGGGTCTCTCTGCTGCACCTCTTTCAACTTGGTATGGTACAGCATGGATCAGAAGAATATGGCTGTTGTTAGTCTTGCTTATTGGTTTTTTTGGCTTAGTGATATTTTGCACAACTTTTTCCTTCTCCTCAAGAAAAGAGAGAAGAAAGTGGCATCCAGAAATGGAAGTTACTAATATCCAGAACAAGAAATGTTCCTCCTCTACCAATACAAAAAAGAAAATTACCTGTTTTATTCATCTCTATGACATGTAGGAGAAAAAAAACAAGAAAAAACTAGCTCTGACATCAGTGATAGTGGAGTTCATTTCCACATTATTGCATTCAGTTGTCAAAAATGCATTTTTTATGGATCTATCTCAGCAGAAGTCCTCAAGTCATGACATCTCTGGGAAGCAGCTTTATAAAGAGCCGTGATGTTGGGCACTGACCTTCCAATGGCTTTTCCTGTGAAGAGAGCCAGTGCTTTCAGGCAGACACTTTGCATGCCCTGGCCTGTATATTTTCAGCTTACTGACATGCTTAGTAAATTTTGCAAACAGCAATTATGATGTCTCCAAAGCATCACACACCAGCATGCATCCCAGGCTTTCTCCTATTTAAAGCTTTTGTTTTTCAGTAAAGCACCTCTATTTAGAAAATCACTTGTGTGAATCACCAAAGCCTGAGGACTTTGTGACTGAATGCTTATTAGAAGCAGAAGATCCTTAAGTACAGCCCTCAGAGGGGTTCAAAATGCCATCTAATCCATCTCCTTGCCTCCAGGACGATTTGTAAGGAATATATTTTTTACAGCACACTTTAGAGATGATGCCATGCAAGATGGCAACCTCACAACCTCCTTAGGCAACTTGTCCTAGCCTTTTGTTATCTTTACTGTTGGAAACTCTTTCCTAATTTAAAGCTGTTATTATTGGCCTTAAAATGAGAAAGTAATTCTAGTTTCCCAGCATACCATTAGCACCCAACACATCAAACCCACCCAAAAGGATAAGCAGAATGAAGATCTCTATTTTCATCGCTGAACACACAAGCTTTTAAAAATAACATGCTGAGGTGGGCCAAGGGGAGAAGAACTTTACCCCCCCACCCTTGCACATATGTCCCATAGTGATGCCTGCTTTTATGGCAGTGCTGGCTGCCACAGGAAGCCAAGGTTAAATACTTTAAGGTTGAATAGCCTGGCTCCCCTTGGAGCTAGCATTTGTGACCTTTAGAAGACTGTCCAAACCACAAGCTGGTAAATACTTGTTTCTAGGAGAAACCCAAACAATTAAGAGCAAAAGGATTTATTGACTGCAGTGATTTACAGCAGTGGCCCCATGGGAGGGTGTTTTCCAGCCCCTTCTGAGTGTTTCAAAAGTGCCCATTGCACACTGTCCTGAACAAATCTGACAGTTTGGTGTCACCTTGATAACAGAATCACTGCATTTCAGTAAGTAGGAGGGACATTGTCATCAGGAGCAGTGGCCATTAGGATTGTTTAGCTGCCTGATGGCACCTTGGCTTCTAACTGCTCTTTCTGCCTTGGAAAGTCACCTGAATACTTTTGTGTCTGATGTCTCAGCTGTGCCTGTTTATCCTCTTGTTTGTCTTTTCAGCTGAGAATTTCAGTACATGGGAAACCACAAATAGCCTGTAGGAAATGAAGTTCTCTGCAATATGTTTTTCTCCTGGACTTATGGCAATGTGTTGCAATTCCAGAAGCTGTAGAAATGCAGTATTTTCTCCAGTAACTCTTTTCTGAAAATAAGAGGAAAATCAGGACAATGCCTGATCTGACTAGCAGGGAAAAAAAAACAAACCCAAGAAATCAACCTTTTTTATGAATTATTTTATTAATCATTTAATTAAACATTTCCAGAAGTTGAAGCAGTAGGAAACAATATTGCTTTTGAAGTAACCCAGGTGAGATCAGCAGGGGCACCCACATAACAGTGGTACCTGAGAACTCTGCTCCCTGAAGCATCAGTGAGGGCTGCAGAATGAGAACATCCTAGCAGAGATTATTGCTGCCCTTCCCCATCCTTGCTCACCAGGGCCTGCTCACTCCATACAAGCCACTGCCAATCTCTACAGAGCAAGAGTTAACCCATTAAAAATAAAGTGCTGTAGGTAGAAACTCACCAGAATCTCTTCTCTAGTATATAAGGGGCTCAGTTGTAAAGGGTCTGATATTTGAAATGGCATTTATTCTAACAGGACCACTGGGAGTTGATTATACCCTGAATATCATGTGAGAAAGCCAGCATATAAGGTTGAAAAATTAAGCTGAGACAGCTTCCCGAGCTTCTCTGTGATAAGAAAGTTATTTCTGGTTGTTCCAGAGTTGATGACAAAATTTCTATTGGCTTTGAAGGAACCAAAACCAGTCTCTACTTCCATATAACTCTGTAAACTTTGGGCTGAAAACACTTATTCAACCACAAGGTTCATTTGAAGAAAATTGCAAAATATAGCTCCCTGCAGAAGATCTGTTAGACTTCTAAGAGCAATTTTATATCATCAAAGGCAAATAAACCTTTCCTGCTTGGGGAAAAACAGTTAGGTGACTTGTATGGCTTTCATATTCTGTTTATACTTTCAACTTACAGCCTCTAAATCACAGTCAAGAGTAGTAGAAATATCAGGGTGTGCAGTTTGATTGCACAGACTGTTTATTTTACATGTACAGCTGGTGCTGTACATGCACAGGTGTGTGTCAAAAGTGAGTGGATATGGCTATTTCAAGGTATGTCCTGAACTTGAGTGTTTTCTTTCCAGACACTGTAATCTTCAAACCCTGGAAATTATGTTATGGTTCTGATGTTGGGAAGTATGGGAGAATTTACCTAATACAATACATTTTTTTAGAAGTTTTGACTTAGCTGGTGTAATGAAGTGCTATACCAGCAGTGCACACAATCTGCCTGTGTAATGATGGGCTGAAAGTTTGCCTCCAGTCTAATTTGTGAAGTTAATATTTTGACTTTTCTTTTGGTGTTTTTTGTTTTTGTTTCCTTTAGTTTTGGTTTCAGTTTTTTTTTGCCAGGGCTGTAGGCATATTCATATGTTACTGTGAGCTAAATGAAGGTCCAGGCTGAGAGACTATCTAGTGCTGTACATATATAAACCTAATCACCTTTTGAAATCAGGTCTCTTCTGACCACATTTGTCATTTTCACAGTGCAAATCAGGAAATTTTCTTTGTGGTATCTTGCTTGTTGGACTGTGGTTCAGCAAAGAGGAAGACTGGCAGACGATGAAGGGTAGGGAAGCCATAGTTGCACCCTTTCAATGTGGTCAAGCTGGCCTAAATTACTGTATTACTGTCCTAGAATGACCTCCAGAAAAAATTAATTATGTCATTACTTGTAATTAAAAAAAAATTGAGGCATATACATTTATTTTTATTCTCTTCCTCCTTTCAATGCTAGGATATGGAATTGACATGATTGTGTGGTAGTTCCATTTAACCACATTTCTCACTGAGCCTCAGCTCTCGTTAGCATCCTCCCCTTGGGCATGACTCAGTTGGGATCAGAGGAGGTTCCTTGACACCAGCGCTGCTTTCTTCAATGAAGGAGGAAGGTGCAACTGTACTGGAGTTTTGTGTGTGAGGACTAAGAATTTTCTGGCAGAACTGGCATCCCGCTGAACTGTATTCCCCATCCTCACCCCCAAAGCCACTGTTTGTTTAGTGCAGGAGGAGCTTTGCCAGCCCACCCCAGACCACACCTGTGGCTGAGCAGCATTCCTGGGGAGGTGTGTGCCTGCCCGGGGGCACTGCTGGCTGCAAGGCTGGAGTGGCTTCCGAGGGCTGCTGACTTACAATGTCAGATATTCTGCTGAGATTCTGCTGAGAGATACCACCCGTGGTTCTGCAGAGATATACCACGTGCCCTGAAGGGATGGGCCACCTGGAAGACCAATGGACCAGTAAGTCTTTGCAGTATTGGCAAGGTGTGTTACTCACAGACATTTCAAAGTTTGAGTTTCCCCCAAGGGGTTTCAGGTCCATCTGTCCTCTTCACCTGCTTTTTCTTCACTTGTCTATGGTTTCCTTTCTTGGGTGTGACAGAAGAACTAACATAGAGCAATGATTTTCCCATTTCAGGCAAAATGCAAAGGTCCCCTGAAAACTCTGCTGTTGTACCAGGAAGATGCTGCTGCACTGGTGCACACTGCTGGGGCTCAGGGCATGAGAGGTCACTCCCTTCAAGAGTCACTTATGTCAATCCTTATCCTAGAGAGATGAGACCAAAATAAACTTGCTGAATATAGAACAGCCTTTCAAGCTGTTTTGGGCATACTGTGTGTTTTTTCTGTGCAGGCAAACCTTTGCACTCCATGATGGAGTCAATATTTGCATTGTTCCTGTCATAAGAACTCTAAATTAAAATTAATAAAAGTGAGCACATAGTACATTAGTTCTTGGAGAGTGCCTTTGAGATGAGGGTTTTGGCTCACTGCTATCCACAGTTTATGGAAATGCACAGCAGGCATCTAGATTGTACCAGGGAAAGAGGGGACATAACTGAAATCCTGCATGGTCTGCTAGGACTCTGGCCTGGGCAAGAAAATTTGGCATGCACAATTTCTGTAACTACCCTAGGAATTTTTTTCAGGAATGGAATTTAGAGACTATATCTGGTCTGGAGGGAGTTGTCTCTCTCCCATTTTGGTGAGCAGGGCCACCAATACCTTATGCCACTATAGACTGGCTCTGAGATCAGCCTGACAAGAGACCAGAGAGGCTTGCTAGTCACACACCAGTCAGTAACTCATGAAGATTGGGGGGTAAATGACACACATCCCATCAATGCCTTTGTCACACTCCAGTACAGCTTTATTCAGTCAGGAGTCATTGAGGGAAAAAAAGCCCTCTAGACACCTGGGAGTTTGTCATCCATCCTTCATCCTTTGGCATGTGCAATTGATTCCAGCTGCACTTCACCCATGGGTGCACTCCCACTCTCAAACCTGAGATCTTGTGAATAAATGAAAAAGGATCAGCATGTGCAGGTGCAATCCTTTCAGTCCCAAGGAGAAGCCTGTGATTTAACTTACACAACGTGGGGGGACCAAGTCCAACTCACTGAGTGATGTGGTGGTGCTGCTGACAGTGATCACAACAATGATGACAATAGTGTACAGCCTTTAGGAATACTTCCAGTGATCAGCTGAGTGTAGACATCAGGATCTCGTTTTCCCATACAGTAACAGCAGCTGATTGCACTGTAACCTTTACTTTGCTCACCAACAGTCCATGTCTTGGAGAACATTTGCATGAATGTGAATTAGGAAATCAAAGAGGATGGTAGAGCTGAATCTTAATAGCTTATGTGAAAAGACCTTGGTTGCAGAGACATGCAGCTTTACTTCAACACTGCAGCTTTACTTCATCTCTATGTTGTCCCTGTACAGGAAAATGTCAGTTTTCTCCTCTGTGGTCTCAGAGCACTGGTTGTGCCTTACATGTCTATTCCTATAAAAACTCATCCTCCTTCTAATTACAAGTAAATGCATTCCAAGATGATTGAACTGTGGGAGGCTAGTCCCCATGTCCTTATCCTTTTCTTGGACCTGAGGTGTGTATCCCAGTTGTAGAGGTTTTGTGCTGGATTGCATGTATCACCATGGAGATCAGGCCAGGGTGGAGTGTGCAGGGGATGCTGTGTCCAGCTAGAGCAGAAGGGAGAGCCCAGCTCTCCTGCCATGAGAGGTCACACAGCCCAAGCTGCAGCTGTTGCCACTACATGTACTCAAGCAGACAAGGGTTGGGAACACAGCTCAACCAGCCCCAAGGTCTTTGGGAGTCAGGAATGCCACATGGGGGTCAGAAATGTTCTTTTTATAGCAGGGGGGCTTCCATACATGCAGAAGGGACCCATGAGCAGAGCAGCTTCAGCTAGGGCTCTACATACCCATGCTGTGCAAGGTCAGCAGCCAGAGGTGTCTGTGAGATCCCTGAGCTGGATGCAGAGGGAAGATGCCCCTGGGCAGGGGTTGCAGGTCCCTCTCTGCCCCAGCAACAGCACATGTAGCACTGTTTGCCCAGGGATGAAAGCCAGGGCTCAATGTAGAGCATTTCTGGTGCCACCTGGCCATCATAGGAACAGATGAACCCCAAGCAGCCCTCCACCCTCAGCTGTGAGATGCTGTGAAAGCTATTAGTGCATCTGCTCTGAAATGGGCTCATTAAAATACACATTCTCCTTCATTATCCTGTGGCAGCAGTGCCTGACTCATCCCACTGCAGTTGCTCTGGAATGGGAACCCAAGTTTAAAATTTTCTAACTCGTTTTTTATCCACCAGGGAAGCTCAGGTCTAACCCACTGAGATGGCAGTGGAAGCTGGAACAGCTTCTGTCTTCATGGGAGGCAAACGAAACCTGAGAAAACAGGGAGAGGAAATAAATGAGGCACTGTCTGATTGAAAGTCTGCTATTTCCTGTTGCCTTTCACAATTTGACACAGGATGCTTTCTTGCACAGGTGTAGCTAGTGCTGGAGTAACCCAGCTGGGACATGGCCACTCCCAGCCCAGGTGTGCCCGTGGTATTTCCTCCTTTCTTCCTCTTTCTCCACAGAACACAGAAGAGTGCCACACAGCCATGGCTTAGCAGCCATGGTCCTGCAGCAAACCGGGATCCCTGCTCTGACTCCTGACCCTACTAAACCTCTTTTCTCCCCACAGGTAGATGGAGCCTTGCACTCAAAGCTTCTGCTGCCAGCACTGTCCCCAGGCACAGACCCCTCTGAGGTGGCACATGGATGGGTACAGGGCACTGGGGCTTTGCAGAACTCCTCTGACAGGCTGGGGGAGGCACTGCCCTGTGCTGCCTTCCTGCTCCCCCAGCTCACAGGGACAGTGTCCTCTGGGCATCACTGGGACAGCGCTTAAAGCCACGGGCAGCCCCAGCCTCCCCTGCCAGAATGGAAACCTCACAGCCCCAGCCCACCTCTTGCGAGCTGGGAACCTTCTCTTTTGCTTTTATGCACAGACATGATCTCACCAGACACTGCATGAAAATTCCTCCCTCTTACTGTTTTGCTCTTAAGGACTGCTTTCCTGGGCTAAACATCCTTTGCTTTAAATAGATGTGCTGACCCAAATACTACTGTGAATGATTATTCAAGGATGAAGACCAGACTGTAGTCCAAAGATTTTACAAGACAACTTAAATCAATATGATCTTTCTGATTAGCACTTCTAGGAAGTGTTGGCTATACTCATTTCTTGGCTCATTTTGCTGTTATTTGTTCATGCAGTACATTACCAAGCATCTGAAATATTTAATCTGTTATCTTCTGGACTGCACTAATTTCTTTTGGAATGAAATGTAGCCTTGTAATCCTGTGCTGTGGATTTTTATAACAAATATTTTACAGTAAGCCACTTGTTAGTAATGAGCCTAGTACCACTTGCACATCTCTTTTTATAATCTTTCCCCTTAAAAAAAATTTGCAACATTTAAAATAATAATTAAATTGTTTATTAACTGATGGCCTACTTGAAATATTAAACTGAACATGGCATTGCAACTTGGGCCATTTTTCAATTTTGTATAGCAAAAAACCTCTGCATGTGTGGAAGCCAGCATTTTTCACAGCACACGTCTGAATGTTTTTTATTTCAGACTGCCTACTGTAATAGAGCAATCACTTCAACAGAAAATATGCTGAAAGCCTGAAATCTAAATCTAATTTAAAGTCTAAATGATGCACATGATTAAAAATGTATTATCTATTCCAAACAAACCAGCATCATTGAAACACTAATATTTCCCTAATTTTAAGCACCATCTAGTGAGTGAAACATTAGATCTGATCTTCCAAATTATACCCAAGGAAAATAAGATCCTGGTTTGACTGCATCCCACTTAGTGCTAGGTCTCATGCTGGGATTTGTAAGTCAGCTGTTTAGTCACCGTCTGTTCTCTTCCTAATGGACATTAAATATTCTTCCAAAGGTGCTGGAGACCAGAGCTTCTGCAGGAAGATAATTTGTTTGTTGACAAAGGAGGGTCTTGGCTGAGCAGGCTCCCTAGTTAGACAAGGCTAACTGCCTGGAAGTGAAGCAGGCAAAAATCTCATTTTGATAATGATTTTTTTTTTTTTAATCACTCCAGAGCAAGGGACTGGAAAGAATGTGATTTTATTTCAATTATAAGCCAAATAAAAAAAAAAATCTCCAGGCAAATAAACAGCTTTATAAGGATCATGATTCTTACTACTTTCATTAGCTGGCTTGCCATGAAGATGAAGTAGGTCTGAGAGAGAATAGCACCGCAAATCTGCATACAATTATGGGACCTTCTTACCTGGCACCGGTGTTAAATCAGTTCAGTTCAGTCAGTGTCAGCAGCTGACCTGTATAAACAGCCACCCACAGCTGGAATTCATTCGGAGAGCAAGTGATGCACACCTGGTTGGGTTACCATGGAATCACTCTGGGCACAGGCAGGGATGCTCAGACTGAGCCTGGTTTGGCCTCTCTGAAATTACAGAGCTTGTAGCTGGAGCTATACTGGTACTTTACACATTCCAGCCAAACTGGTGCTGGGGGTGAGGAAAAGGCACATTGCCTTTGACTGGAGTGCATCACTTGGGAGGCAGGAGTGTCATATGGGGGTCAGAAATAATTCCTTGGCTGCTGCTGGCAACAGCCTCAGCCGGCCAAGCCATACATTTGACCTCTTTCTGGTACACCTGGATGTGGGGAAGGTAGGATTGATCTGTGTGTCCTTGGTGCCAGCTGCCCTGTGGTGCCAGCGCAGCCCTTCAGCAGGGCCCTGTGCACGGGTCTCTGCCGCTGCTGCATCCCCAGCCCCCTCCAGCCACCTCTACATCTGCTTGGGAGTCACACAGTGAGGGAGGCTGACAACCTGGCCTGGGCCACAGAGTCCCCTCTGCTGTTCTGTTTTGGGTTTTTCGCATTTCTCCCTGTGCATCACTTCTGGCTGTGTCAGAGCAGCCATGGCAGCACGGCCTAAGGGCTGGTGGAGGACAAGGGCTGTTGACTTGCACCTCAGGCTCCAGGGAAATTGTGATGTGCAGTGCCCACCTGCTATTTCAAAATAGGGGAGATTTATCTGCACCTTGTGTTATAGAAATCTGGTACCTGGTGGGGTTTAACTGGGGAAAGCAGCATCTCTAGGAGTGGGAGCATTTAAGGCCTGGTCCCTCATCACCAGGACTCATGACTGCCGAGGGGTGACAGAGGTTCCTGGCCTTTGGTCTCTACTTCTACTTGGAATCAACTGCACAGTTTCACTAAGACCTGAAATACCTTAGAGTTCTCCCAACTTGGACATTGGCAAAACTGCTGTGAAAAAGAAAAAAGCATCCCTTTTCTCCTTCATCCCTACTGCCCATACATGTTGTGTTGCTAGCAAAGAGCAAGATCTTTTAGCAAGATCCTGATTTGTGATCTATAATGTCATGATGGAAAGTGGATTCAAGCAGGAAATCAATTTTCACAGCTATATAGCAACAAAAAAAATAATGTTTTTGGAGTCCTTCCCCACAAACAGAGCAGAGCATGTGTAGGTATCAGTCTGTTTAGCAAGACAGTTTAAGCTCACTGGAACAGTCACACAGCATGCACAGTCCATATTAGGATCCAGTCAGCTCCAAACACAGCTACAGGGGTAAGCCAGAATTTCATGACATCACATAAACAAATATAAACAAATACAGTAAAAATGCTTTACCTTGGGCTTAAGCAAAAAGCGATATTTTCCAGTCCTGTGGGATCCTTCTCTGCTCCCAAGTCTGCTGGCTCACAATGCAGCAAAATGATCAGGCATTTATCAACCCTGGCAAGGTCTGCAAGTCCTGATGGTGTTAGACTTGGAAAGAAAGGTGTCGGGAGGAGATTCCTGAACACCTTCACCCAGAGTTACGCAGGGAAAAAAAAAGAAGAAATAAAAGCAAGCTTTAAGAGGTCAGAATGCGTAGCCTACCCAGAGCTGCTATTCCTGTTAGAAATTAGACCCTGAAGTGCCCAGGTGAAAATCAGGGATAATCCCTGAATAAGTGCTTCTAATTGGGACAAACTGAAAGTGAGAAAGTTGAGCAAGACAGTGCTGGCCCACCCCTGGGGGCTCCGGGTTTGTTCCCAGCTGGTAACTGAGAGCACAATTATGCAAAGCCTCCTCTATAAACAGAATTTGGTTTACTATGGCCGAACTGGGGGAATCTATTTTTGTCACCACTTTGTGCAAATATGTTACCCTTGTCATTTCCAGCCAGGTCATTCCAAGTCAGCTGCTTTGGCTGTAGCTGCCACTGGAAGCTCCTCTGCCTGCCCAGTCCCTGGCCCCATTTCTCACCCGCCCGGGGTTGGCTCCCAGGCGAGGGGGACGAGGAGATGAGCCTGTGGCTATTCTGGTAGCTGTGAGCTATGGAAGGGTCACGTGAAGCAAAGAGCCAGAAATGCATGTCAAATCGAACCAGTGACTAATCACGGTATTTTGGTTGTCTTAGTGGCTGCCGGGGAAAGATTTATGGGCTCAGAAAATCTTCCCATAATAATCCCTGGGTGCTGATTTGATCTCCGGCTGAGGCTTCCCAAGACCGTGCGGAAAGAGGACGGAAAGGGGGCTGCTGTCCCAGGGGCGGTGACGTCTAACTGATCAGAGTTCAAAATACAAACAAGAGGAGAAAAGTCAGTGCTCTCTTCTCATCTGTGTCTGCTCAGAGCCACGCGCTGGCAGCCAGAGAGGATCCCTTTGGTCTGCCCGTGGAGCAAGAAGGGTCGGGGGCGACGGCGGAGCAGACACGAAGGGCCGTTTATTGGGACCGTCACCTAGCTCCCTCATCTGTCACCTGATGGCCAGCCAGGCAAGTGCTCAGCACAGCTGTGGACCCTTCATCCTTGCACAACTTGTGGAGGCAAGAAAAGTAAGCATCCTACAGCTGATATACATTCAGCTATTTTCTCTATAAAGGAATGAATTGAATTCACTACAAATCTACTAACTGTCCCCCTATGCCAGGCAAGAGACTGACTTGTGTTTTTTGGGTTGGGCTTTTCTCTAACAGCTGGAAGTCTGCTGGGCATTCAAGCAATGGCTGTTGAGTAAGGCAGCTGTTTCAATATCTAATTGCATTTTAGCTCTAATAGCTCAAGGGAAAAACATTGCATTGTCTGCCATGAGCTACTTCCTGTCCTACTGCAAAGCACACTGCACTGCCGTGCTTGCCCAATACCAGAGCCTGAGATCAGAGGGCTTTCTCTGTGACATTTTGCTGAAAGTGAAAGAAAGCGAGTTTCCTGCACACAAGTCCTTGTTGGCATGCTCCAGCGACTACTTCCGAGCCATGTTCAAAAGTTATACCCAAGAGTCTAAAGCCAGTGTCATTCACCTACAAGTTGTCTCACCCACTGGGCTCCAGCACATCCTGGATTTCATTTACACATCCTTGCTGCCCCTTTCCTTTGAAAGCCTGGAGGATACCTTGGAAGCTGCAAGCTACTTGCAAGTGACTGATGCTATCGGCTTGTGCAATCAGTACTTAGTTAACAATCTTGCCTTGGAAAACTGCTGCTACTCTGCCAATGTGGCCAGGAAGTTCTACCTGCCAGATGCCCTAGCAGCTGCAGAAAAATATATTATCAAAAATGTCTGGAAGCTGCTAGACTTGGATTTGTCGGGACTCCTTGAGTTGAACTTCAGGTCTTTGCTAGCAGTGATTCAATCACCAGATCTCCCCATGGTGGAAGAATGTTGCCTGTTGAATCTTGTCCTGTTGTGGCTGAAGCAGGATAAATCCAGGCTGGATCATGCAAGCAGCCTTTTAGAGCACATAAGATATGGTCTCATCCCAGTGGAAGAGCTGAGAAAAACCTACACACAGTCAGAAGTGTCCCTCTCAGCAGGTATTAAGTGCATGATCATAAAAGCAATAAATTATCACACATCTGTATTCAAACAGCCTGTCCTGCAGGATAAGTCCACCACACTGAGGAACGAAAAAACTCGGATCATTCTGCTGGGGGGAGGCACAGCAAGTGAGGGCCTCGTCACCGATGTGGTGGCCTTCGATGTTTACAATCACAAATGGCGAACCCTCACGCAGCTGCAGGACAGGGTGCAGAACCACAGCGTTTGTGTGGTGGGGAACTTCCTCTATGTCCTGGGTGGGGAAATACAAAGTGGTATCCTGGATGATGCTAAAATTGGAAAGACCTTATTGGTTACAAACAAGGTCCATCGGTACGATCCAAGATTTAACGCATGGACCCAAATCACGGGCATGCTGGAAAAGAGATGCCAGTTTTCTTGTTGTGTCCTAGGCAAGGATATCTTTGCCATTGGTGGAAGGGGTGAGGACGGGTTGCTGCATTCATCTGTGGAAGTCTATGACATCAGCAGGGATAGATGGACCAAGGCCAGGGAATTGCCATGCAGGATACATGGTCATGCCAGTGCTGTTTGCAAGAACATCATATACATCTCTGGGGGTAAGTACTCGGCCCCAGCCAGCACAAGCAATGACGTTTATTCTCTGAGCTCACTTGAAGGGCAGTGGGTGAAACGTGCCCCAATGAGCATTGCTCGGTTTGGGCATCAGATGGCAACAATCAGGGGATCCATTTTCACCTTTCTGGGACTATATGAACCTTTCTCTGAAATAGAAAGGTATGACCCGGATCAAAACCAATGGACTCGGTTGAAACCACTGGTCTACGATCGATTTTCCTATGGCCTGGCAGTGGTAGAGGAGACAGCTCTTCTTATTGGGGGAAAGAAATGGCAAAACTCGCTGGAGGTGTCCACACAAGACGTGGTTGGCTATGACATCGACAACGATGGCTGGGAAGAGATCTGCAAGGCCCCTGTGCCGTGGTGTGGGCTGCAGTGCGCTGTGCTCCAGCTCTCCGAGGTGGCCGAGGAGCAGGACAGCGACAGCCACCAGAAGAAGCTGCCCAACTGCTGAGCTCCCATGCTGAGGAATATCCATTTCAGGAGATGAGCAAGCAGGACGGTCCTGAAGAAGAAAATTGCAGTGGCTCTGAATGTGACAGTGGAACCTTTGCTTGGATAAGCCAAATGCTTGGTGGAAACAGGCAAAAAAATCTGGCTCCAACACAGGAAACACATCGAGGATTTATAAAGCTCGAAGCTGATCTCACTGAGCAAGGATGTAGCAAGTAGCATGCTTAGAGGCGATGAGTGAGAATTGTAATCCTTGACTTTTGGATAATACCTAGATAGCAATTAGTAGGTGTTGCAAGTGGGATTTTTCAAATATTAAAAAATATAATCCGTCTTTTCTGTTTTCTTAATCAGAGGTAATTTTCCCGGCTGGTAAGTGCTATTGAGTTTTTATGCTATGGCTAAGCAAAAGGAAAGAGAGCTGTATAAAGACTAGAAAATTGATGCCTATAAGAATTAGTAGCAAGTATTGCCACGGAAAAGGTATTACTTTATATACTTCTTACTAGGCAAGAATGTCTTAGCTAACCAGCATGAAATTACTGGACAGAAAGCATGGACTTTTCACTGCGTAGACTCAGCTACCGCTGAAAGTTAAAACAGTGTTTGTTTGATAGAAGCCATTGCTCTCTCAGTGGCCTTTGTTGTAGAACACCTTCCAGATGTTTATTTGGTATTATTTTAGAGATGCACGCTACTGGTGTTGTGCATTTATTTTGTGTCCAAACCCTGTGTTAGCTTAGATGGCCAGAGCTGAGTGGGTATCCTTATCCTGAGCCTCCAAGAAGCTTCTTACAGGAGTAACAGGATGTTACTGATGCCTTGGCATTTACCTTGGCACCACATGCTGTTTTATCACACCTGTTCATAAGGGTAAAATGCTTCATTGCTGTTGAACTGCTACGAGAGAACCCTGCAGTCAAAAAAGGTTTACTTTCATCAAAGAGTACAAAGGGGAGGGAGGTAACTGAAGGTTTTCAGAAGTCTTTACTCAGTGTCTGCCTACATACAAACCAGCAATAGTGTCACTCCCTTTTGGCCACACTGGCAGTGTTTGAAGTCACTCTGGGGCACTTTAAGATACATGGATATGTGAAATGCAGACAAAATGGTCAGATGCCACAGAATCAGTCTGGTATGGAGTAAAGTGAATCTTGAGCCATAAATGTTCATTTAAAAGCTAAATTTATTGTACTTCATTTTACAGTGTTCCCTTTCTAGGCTGAGAGTTAATACAATAAAAATATATATAGAAGAACATTTAATAGTCTTAAAAGAAGGCAGCACAATGGAGAGGACACATGTTCTTTGTCACTAGACTAGCTTAAAAAACTGTAATGTTTAATTTTCACCTTTAAAGCAATCAAGCTAACTTTACTAATGTAAAGTGCAGGCAGAATGGCTGTTGCATAGCAACAGATCTAATTCTTCTGAACTGCCTTGATTTTGACAAGGAATCAACTACACAATGTGCATATACATCCATCAGATATAAAGAGTTTTTCATATGAATATATTTACTTTTGGTCCAGTAAAACAATAGCAAGAGAATCTAAATGCTTGGAACAATAGCACAATCCATTTCAAGTCAAGCATTTTTAAAGAGAAATTTACAAAAACCTCACAAATTTAATATACAAGTCAGTACCCATGCAGTAAATAAATGTCCAGTTTATACAAACAATATTCTTCTAATAGTACAAATCTTACACTGGATCCAGAATTCTATACAAACGTTAGTACATGATTTGTCATCCAGACAACTTGAATATAGGATTACTTAAAATGGGCTACAGAAAGGCCACTCTTCTGTACAGTTGTGCAAAATCTGCAGAACATTTGCAATCTAAACCCAATAACAAGGTAGAAAATGAGGGCTAGAAAGAGGAAAAGAAAGAAAACGGGGAGCAAGAGAGAAAAATGGGAGAGAAAGAGAGAGAGAAAGACAAGAAAGAAAGACGAAAGAAAGAAAGAAAGAAAGAAAGAAAGTCCATTCTTTCCTTCATCCCTTCATGGATATAACTGCCAGGAAATATCAGAGTTCATAAAGTTTAAAGTACATTCACTGAGCTGTACAGGCAATAGTCTCAAGTTGGTTAAGAGTACAACTCACTAAAGTATAAAGGAGGCTTCTTCTTTCCCCATGAGCATTATTAAATCATGTCATGAGTCCTAACTTACGCAGCAAAATACTGAAGAGCAGCAGAAA